GAGCAATGCCAATGTCCTCCTGGTTACATTGGTACTTCATGTGAAGATTGCGCTCCAGGCTATTCAAGGACTGGCGGTATGATTAATTTTATTGAAAGTTAATTAATATCACAAAAAAAACGCTTACTTCTTTAGGTGGATTGTACTTGGGTCTTTGCGAACGTTGCGAATGCCACGGTCATGCAACTCAATGTGACAAGGCAAGGGTTTATAAAACTGTCATCCAAATTACAACCACATTCTAAATCATGACTTTCTGTTTTTGGCAACCTTTTGGGCTTGATATGGCTGAACATGAGATCTTCTCACAAAATATTATTTCATAGGTTTCTGCAAATCTAATGACTTTAACTCTCTTTAGGAGTACGGTTTCTGTATTGACTGCCAGCACAACACCGAAGGAGACCAATGCGAAAGGTAATCTACTCTTTTGCAGATTAAGACAGGCATTATATGAAATTACAGATGCAAACCTGGGTTCGTGGGAGATGCACGTCGAGGAACTCCTCATGACTGCCAACCGGCTGCAACACGACCTCCCTGCCAATGTAACAACCACTCACCAAGAGGATGCGATTCATTCGGAAGATGTTTGGTGAGTGTTTTAATTATTTTGGCAAATCGAACTCAATACATCAAATTTAGTAGTTTTGATTGTCCATCTTTCCTAAGATAATACTTAATCTCAGCTCTGTGAACACAATACCGAAGGAACGCATTGCGAACGATGTAAAAAAGGTTTCTATGGAGAAGCCACTAAGGGTACACCTTATGACTGTACACCTTGCCCGTGCCCGTAAGCAACTTTCATTCGCATTTATTGCTAGAACATGTTAGTAACTCATTCTATAAACTTCTTTTTCAGTGGAGCAGCTGACTGCTATCTCGACGCTCAAGGGCAGGTGGCTTGTAGAAATTGCCCTGCAGGTCTCTATGGACGATTGTGTGACGAGTAAGTTTATTATGCCTTCAGGAGGCAGAATCAAAAACCCAAAAGTTTGGTAGTGAAGCTATTGGTCGTTTATAACGCTACCTGTATCACCAGTCAACGCCTTTAAACTGTGTACTGCTCCTGCGAATTATCTGTTTAAAAAAATTTTTCTTCTCTTTCCACCAAAATCACTCGCCTTTTATTACTCGGGGCATTGAAATTAACCTTTTAGGTGTAGTGAAGGTTTAGCATCGAAATTTTAAGCTATAGATGAAATTCTTGAGCAAGTCGCGCATGTCAGAAGATTTCGTAATTGGCGATTCGCAGGTATGGAAAACAGATTTAGAATTGGCCTACCGAGGCTCGTTCTAGAGCATCTTTAATAATTTGAAACCAAGTATCTTGAAAGGTGTTTGAATTGATAGAAACTCGTCTAATTATTTTAGATTATGCACGCTGAAGAATACTAATCAAGGTTGAGTTTTTTAACAAATAAATGCTATTGTAATTGTCAGTTATGCAAATTTACAATCTGTTAAGTACGAAAT